GTCTGCTATGAAAGCTGCACTATGGTATGGGAAAACTCCGATGGAAAATGTCTGTATGCAGGCAGGAATGTAGAGATGGAGACATCTCCTCGACGCACGGGCCTATTGGGTTTACGGGACGTTATGCATCCCTGTTACAAAAAGCATTGGGGGTGACATGGGATACTCCTCCCGGCCCTGTTCCATCAGGGTTCAGTTCTTACTGGGTGTTTGGGAATAAAGCCTATCATACCCTTCCAGTACACTTCTCAGGTTCTTGTTATCGTGCCTGGTTGTTACCCCCCACTTGTATTGTGAAACAATTACATAAAGGCAAGATTAAAAATGTAAGGCACACTAGCAAACCTCAAGCTGAAGAGGATGCAGCCCTTGAACCAATGATGTGGACAACATTCCCTAATAATCGCAGACTTAGGAGAGGGGTTATAAGACTCCAGGGTATTTTAGAAATTATGGCTAATGAAACTGCTACCATAGTTACAAATCAAGCCACTGAGCTTAAGCAACTTAGACAGTTAACTTTACAAAATCATATGGCTTTAGATATTCTTTTAGCAGCTCAAGGAGGAACTTGTGCCCTTATAGGCCAAGAGTGTTGTGTATTTGTGAATGACACCTATAAAGATACCTTTGACAGAGCAGCCCACTTAAGAGACCTCGTCCGAGACAGGTCTGATGAAGGTAGCTGGACACATGATTGATTTGATGGTTTATTTTCCTGGTTCCCTTCCTTAACAGGCTGGTTAAAGGGACTTGTCAAGGCTGCTTCCCCACTCTGAACTTTAGGGTACAAATGTGGGGGCCTGCATGAAAACTTCTAAGCTTAACTACCAGCTTAGATCTGGTCCGCTGCCACCATTCCCAAAGCTAATTCCCTTCCCTGGGAAGCCTTGAGAAACTCTTGACCAATTCTCTGGTGAATACAGATCCAAACCCCTTGGATCTTAAAACAAGGAGAAATTAACCATCCCCTCTCCTTCCTCCCACCAACTCCTGGTGGATCAAGATCCAACCCCCTTGGATCTAAAAACAAGGAAAAATCAATCAGGTTCTTAAAAAGAAGGCTTTTAATTAAAGAAAAAGGTAAAAATCATCTCTGTAAAATCAGGATGGAAAATAACTTTACAGGGTAATCAAACTTAAAGAGCCCAGAAGACCCCCTCTAGCCTTAGGTTGAAAGTACAGCAAACAGAGATCAACACTCTAGTAAAAGGCACATTTACAAGTTGAGAAAACAAAGATAAACTAACACGCCTTGCCTGGCTGTTTACTTACAAGTTTGAAATATGAGAGACTTATTCAGAAAGATTTGGAGAATCTGGATTGATGTCTGGTCCCTCTCAGTCCCAAGAGCGAACAACCCCCAAAACAAAGAGCACAAACAAAAGCCTTCCCCCCCACCCCCAGATTTGAAAGGATCTTGTCCCCTTATTGGTCCTTTGGGTCAGGTGTCAGCTAGGTTACCTGAGCTTCTTAACCCTTTACAGGTGAAAGGATTTTGGAGTCTCTGGCCAGGAGGGATTTTATAGTACTGTACACAGAAGAGCTGTTACCCTTCTCTTTATAGTTATGACAGGACTCCTGAAAGGAGGTGTTATGATTTTACTGATGATTGTGGTTTTTTGTGTGTTTAAACTGTCCATGTGGATAATGTCTAAATGTGCTAGGGCAACTAGCAAATTGAAGGGAATATTTCTCTCTTTACAAGAAAGACAGGTTTTGGCAAAGGCGGGAAACCATGCCAGATGCTGATATTCTGACCCTTACATATTTGCTGTAACGCTCCTACTGCTGTGAAAGTGTGATCATGAGCCCATTATATGGGTCATGATCAAAGGGGGGAAATTGATATAAAATTATTCTACTTAACTGCCAGGGGGCAAATTTGTCTCGTACACACAGGGTCAGCTATAGGTTGTCTTAACCCAGGAAGTTCCTTCGAGAGGAAATGTAGCCAAACTCCAAACCTGGAGACAATGGAACTTTCTGTGCCTGCGTCCTGTAGATAGCTAACCGCTTGGTTTGCAAAATAAGCAAGGAGGAGGGGGCAAGTAGATGGACAATAAGGGGTCACAAGAGGGGCAGATACATGTAGCTTGCTAATTATGTATGGTAATGATAGCAAATTTTGGCCAATCATAGAGCGATAAATTATCATAAGCAACTGCATATAATGCTTTGGTGTAAGTGTTTTCTTTGTTCTTGCTGACTTATGAGCTCGAACCCAATTGCAATTGAAATAAACGGATCGCCCCTCCCGGGGCTCCTTGCTTGGCTAGCTGTGTCCGTCTCTCCTTACTCCTCAGCTGGAACGGACAGAAATTTCTATGACATGCAGAAAGAATAGCAAATATTGCAGGTGACCAGCTTGGCTTAACAGTGAAATCTTTGGTGAGCTTAAACACAAAAAGAAAGCTTACAAGAAGTAGAAACTTGGACAGATGACTAGGGAGGAGTATAAAAATATTGCTTGAGCATGCAGGGGTGTAATCAGGAAGGCCAAAACATAACTGGAGTTGCAGCTAGCAAGGGATGTGAAGGGCAACAAGAAGGGTTTGTTAAGAAGGTATGTTAGCAACAAGAAAAAGGTCAGAGAAAGTGTGGGACCCTTACTGAATGGGGGAGGCAACCTAGTGACAGATGATGTAGAAAAAGCTGAAGTACTCAATGCTTTTTTTGCCTCGGTCTTCACAGACAAGGTCAGCTATAAGGACTATTTAGAAAAGCTGGACATGCACAAGTCCATGGTCCAGATCTAATGCATCTGAGGGTGCTGAGGGATTTGGCTGATGTAACTGCAGAGCCATTGGCCATTATCTTTGAAAATTCGTGGCAATCGGGGAAGGTCCTGGACGATTGGAAAAAGGCAAATATAGTGCCCATATTTAAAAAGGGGAAGAAAGAGAACCTGGAGAACTACAGACCAGTCAGCCTCACTTCAATCCCTTGCAAAATCATGGAGCAGGTCCTCAAGGAATCCATTTTGAAGCACTTGGAGGAGACGAAGGTGATCAGGAACAGTCAACATGGATTCACCAAGGCCAAGTCATGCCTGACCAACTTGATTGCCTTCTATGATGAGGTAACTGGCTCTGTGGATATGGGGAAAGCAGTGGATGTGATATATCTTGACTTTAGCAAAGCTTTTAATACGGTCTCCCACAGTATTCTTGCCAGCAAGTTAAAAAAGTATGGAGTGGATGAATGGACTATAAGGTGGGTAGAAAGCTGGCTAGATTGTTGGGCTCAATGGGTAGTGATCAATGGCTTGATGTCTAGTTGGCAGCCAATATCAAGGACTGCTCCAGGGGTTGGTCCTGGGGCCGGCTTTGTTCAACATCTTTATGATCTGGATGATGGGATGGATTGCACCCTCAGCAAGTTTGTGGATGACACTAAGTTGGGGGGAGAGGTAGATAAGCTGGAGGGTAGGGATAGGGTCCAGAGTGACCTAGACAAATTGGAGGATTGGGCCAAAAGAAATCTGATGAGGTTCAACAAGAACAAATGCAGAGTCCTGCACTTAGGATGGAAGAATCCCATGCACTGCTACAGGCTGGGGACCGACTGGCTAAGCAGCAGTTCTGCAGAAAAGGACCTGGAGATTACAGTGGATGAGAAGCTGGATATGAGTCAGCAGTGTGCCCTTGTTACCAAAAAGGCTAATGGCATATTGGGCTGTATTAGTAGGAGTATTGCCAGCAGATAGAGGGGAATAATCATTTCCCTTGTTTCGGCACTGGTGAGGCCACATCTGGAGTATTGCATCCAGTTTGGGGCCCCTCCGCTACAGAAAGGATGTGGACAAATTGGAGAGAGTCCAGCGGAGGGCAACGAAAATGATCAGGGGGCTGAGGCACATGACTTATGAGAAGAGGCTGAGGGAACTGGGCTTGTTTAGTCTGCAGAAGAGTGAGGGGGGATTTGATAGCAGCCTTCAACTACCTGAAGGGGGGTTCCAAAGAAGATGGAGCTCGGCTGTTCTCAGTGATGGGATATGACAGAACAAGAAGCAATGGTCTCAAGTTGCAGTGGGGAAGGTCTAATTTGGATATTAGGAAACACTATTTCACTAGGAGGTAAACCACTGGAATGAGTTACCTGGGGAGGTGGTGGAATCTCCATCTTTAGAGGTTTTTAAGGCCCGGCTTGACAAAGCCCTGTCTGGGATGATTTAGTTGGTGTTGGTCCTGCCTTGAGCAGGGGGTTGGACTAGATGACCTCCTGAGGTCTTTTCCAACCCTAATCTTCTAAGATTCTATGGTGTTTCAGCAGGGTGTGATTACAATGTATCTGGGTGTGACAATGTCTCAGTGCAATGCCATCACGCAGGGGTATGCTGTTGTGACAGCAGGATCGTTTTGCAGTGCATCACAGCACAATGGTGACTACAAGACGTAGCAGTTGGTCTGGTAGCAATTTACCTTTGGCAAGCCCTGAACAGAGTCTTCTTCGACCCCGCTTAGGGTGCTGGAGCCATGTGGTGCCTAGCCGTGCTGGTGCAGTGTCCTGTTGCCAGTCGCCACACAGAGTGACCCCGAGAGCCAGGGCCGGCTTCAGGGTTTTGGCCGCCCCAAGCAGCCAAAAAAAAAAAAAGCCGCAATCGCGATCTGGGGCGGCAATTCGGCAGGCGGTCCTTCGCTCCGAGCGGGAGTGAGGGACCGTCCGCCGAATTGCTGCCGAATAGCTGGACCTGCCACCCCTCTCCGGAGTGGCCGCCCCAAGCACCTGCTTGCCAAGCTGGTGCCTGGAGCCGGCCCTGCTGAGAGCTCTGCTCCAGGGCCAGGACCGCTAGTGGACAGCAGAGCGCTCTTCACCACCCAGCCCCAGGTCCTGGCTCAGTGGGGCGGCAGCATAGTCAGGCCTGGACACCTCCGGGTCAGTTGCCATGGGAACAGCAGGGGGCGGCAGCGAGCAGCTGCGCAGGACGTTACACGCTGAGCCGTGTGGGCCCAGCGCTTTTCTGACGGGGAGGGGACGCGTCTCTTGCCGGAGCAGCCATGGCTCACGCAAACCCCGTGGTAAGGGCTGGGACCAGGGCGGTCTCCCGCCGAGGGGCAGAAGGGAAACGGGGAGAGAGGAGAAAAAGGAGCTGCCTGCCCAGGTCGGCCTGTAGTGTAATATATTAGGGTTTTACAGGAACGTCCCGGATGCCTTTTCCCTCTGCCCTGTGACAGGCCGTCGCCCAGGGCTGTGCCGAGAGGGGGCAGATGGATTGCCCCCTCCCCTCCGCTGTTATGCTGAGCGAGCGGGGTCCCACTTGGTACACAGACGAAAGTGGGAAACGTTCAATGTTTGGTTTGTGCCGCCCAGGCTATGCTTAGACGCTGCAAGCTCCTGCCCTACAACAGCTAGACGAAAAAGGAACGATGCACCTGGAGGAGACCGCAATCCCCGAGCTCTGCGTGTAGACCTCGCGTTTGCGACCTGAATTACCAAGAAAGGGGCATCAGATACTATTTATCCTCCCGTGTGATAGCATTAAAGACCTTCAGTTATTAACAGAACACCGACGTGGTTTGTGCAATCAAGCAAAAGTCTATCAGACTCGGTTTTGATTTAGTAATTGCCTCAATTTGTTGTTCTTGTTGCCGAAATTAGAAATGGACTTTTAAAATAAAATCTGGAGACTAGAGTTTAGTTTGAAAGCCCTGGAAGCCTTCTTTATTAAAAAAACAAACTGTTTTGTGTGTCATTGAGTAAAAGCATTAATCGTGTGATGTTGACAGTTATTATATAGTTTTCGAATAAATCTGACCTAGTTTGGATAAATATCTCTTATTTTCCTGAAATTAGTTAGCTGGTGCTAGGGAGAAATCTGAATCCTTCACTCAAACTTACTTTCTTATGCCCTGTTTTTGAGCTTCCTTTGTGAGCCTCCCACAGGAACATCCTTCTTGAGTGTTTGGAAAGCATCTAGCACATAGTGGGTGCTATCAGAAATAACTGTTGCCTTGCTTTAACTTTAAGATGTAAATACTGCCATTGAAGTCATGGAGATTTAAAGTTTTTAGGATTGGGGCCTTAATAATTTCCACCCTCCTTTTTATTTTGTTACATTCACCACTTCCTCACTTCATACTTCATCACTCCCCCAACACTGCATGTTTTTTTTAGGAAGCTGAAAACTCATTTCAAGACATGACAATTATTGATCTGTTTGACCTCATGGTGTGACAGTTGTATGTGTGAGATAAGAGTAGAGCACGCTAATATACACGCTCTATGATAATTGTGATCATGTTGTAAGTACAGTATTTAGTGTTGGAATTGTGAGGTTACCATTTAGGATCCTGTTTGAAACATATATCAGAATAAGACTTTTAACTTTTTGTAAGACTTTGCATAATAAAATATAACTTGGTCAGTTTCCTTTGAGAATTAGGTCATTTGAAAGCAAAGTGTTTGTTTTACAATAATTTAATCTCAAGATGTCTACTGAATTGGCAGGGGGAGGCCATTTGAGGTTCTTGACTATAATTGTGCAAGAGCTGATTTTATTTTTTTCTACAGCTGATATGTTGAAATGTACCTTGGAATTTTTCTAAGATCTTTATTGTCATCTGCCTTTACTGCCACCCACCCCCTCCCACATGGCTATGTATGTTGTTGTTGTGAAACAATTGTACACTTGGGCTGATTGCTTTTTAGCTAGAAGTAATTAGTTACTTCACAACAGCGTCATGCCCTCAGATATGTTTCACTTGAAAATCATTTTATTTCACGCATCCTAATTTTACAATAATGAGAGAGTAGGTTTATTTTTAACATTAAGATTAAAAAAAAAAGGGAACTATGAAGATTTAGAATCCTAACACTTCAAAGATTGGCTAAAGGTTCAGGTTCTAGCCTAATGTCAGCACATGGCGTACTTCATAGTAATCACTGTTCTGATTAAAACAGCTTTTAGCAATTGAGGGCCCTAACCTTGCAATCAGATCCATGTAGGTGACCCCTTCAGCCTGCACAAAGCCCTGTTCTCAGTCTACACTTGGGAATCTGGCTGTAGGATTGTGACCTAAAAGAGAAACTATTAGCCTGAGCAGAGGGGCAAAAAATCTCCAGGTCTGATTCTGATGACATAAACTGATCAAATGCATTGACTTCAGTGTAATTACCTTCAGATTACATTGGGTTTTTCTTCCTATTTTTATTGCAACTTTTGAAAAAGTCACGTTACATTTTTCTTCTAATCTGAAATTATGTATTGATAACTGTATTGTTATAACATGAGTTAGCAGCAAAATAGCTATTACAATCATAGCCATAAAGCAACAGTCTCCACTCTCTGTATTTGGCTCACAACTGAAGCTGCTCATGTTCTAGAAACTAGCCAAACTAGAAAGTGTGTTTTTTATTTTCTTCCTTATATTGTTAGTTTCTTCCTAGAGCTTCTTTGTGCAGCTTTAGCCAGTGCTACTTTAATGGTCTTACACAGCAAATGCTAGCCTGAAACAGAACATGCTAGTTTGAGAATATGCTGGAATTGTTCTCCTAATGATTTTAGGACTCTTGCTGGATGTTATAGCTAAAAATAACTATAAATTAAAAGAAATCTAAAATTGAGGCCAAAATCCTAATTTTTCCTTTGATATTTTATTGTTAGTTTTTCATTCTACAGTGCCATAAGTGATTTGGTAGAGGAAAAATGTTCTGGCCTATCTAGTTATCCCAGCAGTTGCATGGGCCAGAATCTTCAGCCATAAATGGTACTGTCCCCTGGATCTGTTCATTTTATAATATGGCTCACAAAGCCAGCTTACAAATCCTACCTCTAGTCAGAGAGTCTGTACTTCACTTGGAGCTATAGCAAATGTCAGCCTGTGTTTTAAATTCTCTGAATTGTGTTTTATTCAGCCTAAACTCTACAGATCTATTATTGAAGATGTGATTGAAGGTGTCTGGGAACTCTTTGCAGAAGAAGGTGTGGAGGAACAGGTCTTGAAAGACTTGAAGCAGGTTTGTTGGATAATGATAAATCAAAGAAACAGTCTTTTTCTTGGGATATCTTCTTCTACCTGTCCTTATTTTTCTAAGGCCCCACAGGGTACAGGCACCTTCCATCAAAATCAAAGAGAGATACATATATCCTGAGAAACATGAATTGGAGTCCAAATCTGGTACTTATTCTTAACATTCTGCTGTTGAATGGTTTCTTAGGCTTGGTCTACACTTACCCCCCAATTCAAACTAAGGTACACAACTTCAGGTATGTGAATAACGTAGCTGAAGATCGAAGTACCTTAGTTCGAACTTACCTCGGTCCACACGCGGCAGGCAGGCTCCCCCGTTGACTCCGCGGTACTCCTCTCGTCTAGCTGGAGTACCGCAGTCGACGGCGAGCACTTCCGGGTTCGACTTATCTCGTCCAGACAAGACGCGATAAGTCGAACCCAGAAGTTCGATTTCCAGCCGCCGAACTAGCGGCTGGGTGTAGACGTACCCTTAGATTCAACCATTCAGTTTTCAGGATTATCCTGAATAGTTAAAGTGCCTGAAAACTTTAAATATATTAATGGATGAAAACTGATTTGGGCGACTTAATAATTTTCTTATTAACATCTTTTTCGCAGGTTTGGGAAGCTAAGGTGACTCAGTCTAAAGCAACAGAAGGCTTCTTCAAGCATAGCCACTATTCACCCCAGTTCACCTTGCAGTTGCCACACAACTTACATCGCACACTTCAGACATCAACAGGTTGGATATTATTTGTGAGAGGCCAACAGTTGCAATTTAACACTAGTTCAATGTTTCAATAACCTCTTCATTTGAATTGTGATGGGCCAAATTCTGTTCTCTTTTACTTTGGTGTAGATCTAGAATGAGAGACACTATGAAACTGAAAGCAGAATTTGGCCCACTAAGGGATAAATCCTGTTCTGGCACGCTAATGTAAATCCAGATATTTGAGTTCAGTAGAGCTACTTCAGATTTGCACTGATGCACATGAGATCAGAATTGTACCCCTCTGTTCTCTAGGCCAGAAGTATAGCACATCTTAAAATTTGTAGTTTTTTTTTTTTTTTTTTTATTTTAAGAAATGTGGACTAATTCTAATTCAGTTTTTGTTTTTTAATAGATTGTTCCAGTGTTGAATAATTCAAACTAAAAAGAGGTACTTTGTAGGGTTGTCAAGCGATTAAAAAAATTAATCCCGTGAATAAACAATAATAGAATACCATTTATTTAAATATTTGTGGATGTTTTCTAAATTTTCAAATATATTGATTTCAATTACAACACAATACAAAGTGTACAGTGCTCACTTCATATTTATTTTTGATTACAAATATTTGCACTGTTAGAAATAGTATTTTTCAATTCACCTAATACAAGTACTGTAGTGCAATCTCTTTATCATGAAAGTTGAACTTACAAATGTAGAATTATGTACAAAAAAAAGTTTTATTTTTGAATGCAATGTAAAATTTTAGAGCCTGCAAGTCCACTCAGTCCTACTTCTTGTTAAGCCAATGGCTCAGACAAACAAGTTTGTTTACATTTGCAGGAGATAATACTGCCTGGTTCTTGTTTATAATGTCACCTGACAGCCAGAACAGGCGTTCTCATGGCACTGTTATAGCTGAAATCGCAAGATATTTACATGCCAGATGCACTAAAGATTTATATGTCCCTTCATGCTTCAACCACCATTCCAGGGGACGTGCTTCCATGCTGATGACGTGTTCTGCTTGATAACAATCCAAAGCAGTGCGGACTGACACATGTTAATTTTCATTATCTGAGTCAGATGCCACCAGCAGAAGGTTGATTTTCTTTTTTGGTCGTTCGGGTTCTGTATTTTCCACATTGGAGTGTTGCTCTTTTAAGACGTCTGAAAAAATGCTCTACCCTCTCAGATTTTGGAAGGCACTTCAGATTCTTAAACCTTGGGTCGAGTGCTGTAGCTATCTTTAGACATCTCACATTTGTATCTTCTTTGCGTTTTGTGAAATCTGCAGTGAAAGTGTTCTTAAAGTGAACATGTGCTGGGTCATCATCTGAGACTGCTATAACATGAACTATATGGCAGAATGCATAAAACAGAGAAGGGGACATACAATTCTGCCCCAAGCAGTTCAATAACAAATTTAATTAACACATTATTTTTTTAACGAGCGTCATCAGCATGAAAGCATGTCCTCTGGAATGGTGGTTGAAGCATGAAGGGGAATGTGAATGTTGAGCATATCTGGCAAGTAAATACCGGCTACAAAAGTGCCATGCAAATGCCTGTTCTCACTTTCTGGTGACATAGATGAGAATTGGGCAGCATTATCTCCCGTAAATGTAAACAGACTTGTTTGTCTGAGCAATTGGCTGAACAAGAAGTAGGGCTGAGTGGACTTGTAGGCTCTGAAGTTTTACTTTTGAGTGCAGTTACGTAACAAAAATCTACATTTGTAAGTTGCACTTGCACAGTAGAGATTGCATTACAGTACTTGTATGAGGTGAATATACAATTTCTTTTGTTTATCATTTTTACAGTGCAAATATTTGTAATAAAAATATACATTTTGATTTCAGTTACAACACAGAATACAATATATATGAAAATGTAGGAAAAAATCCAAAATATTTAATTTCAATTGATATTCTATTGTTTAACAGTGCAATTAAAACTGCAATTAATCACGATAATTTTTTTAAATTGTGGTTAAGTTTTTTGAGTTAATCGCATGAGTTAACTGCAGTTAATTGACAGCCCTAGTACTTGGTTTTAGGGACAGATCTTAGTCCTTTAAGTCCCTTTGCACCACTCTGATGGTTCCAAGAGTACTTAAAGCTGCCTAGATCAGCAATTGAGGGTCCCCCTACTGTGAGAGAGCATTGACAGCAGAGACAGGGATCCAGTGGAAAAAATAGTATGTGAATGTGTAAGTCAAGATTGTATCATAATATATATGCACAAGTGATCAATTAAAGGTGAATGGGCAACTTTGATTCTGGTATTTCCTAATTTTTTGAGTGCTTGATTGTGTAACCTTAATGTTTTATTAATGTAGTAGTATTTTTAGATGTAGTAATAATAAATATACAGGGACATAGTACTCCTGGGCATTGAGTCCTGTCCCCAATGAGTTGCAGGCAACTTCATCATACAATCCCATTTATAAATGTATCAATTTGTATATGCTAGGTACAGAGGCATTATTTATTTAACCTGGCCCAAGGGTTCTAGATTCACTCACTATGGGAAGCATTCTAACTTTTCCTGTAGAGGCGGGAAATACCTAGGGTAGAACAGGCTCTATTACAGGTAACACAACTGTAAAAATGTATGGACTCTGTTTATGCTTTAAGTAGGATTTTCAAAAGTGGTCAGCACTGGTCTAATTCTGTTCCTGTTGTAGTCAATGAGAGTTTTACAATTGACTATAATGGGAGCAGATAAACCAATGCTGAGTGTTCTGAAAAATCCCATCCTGCTTCTGCTGCTAGCATTATTGGAGCTGCACCGGTGCAGAAAATTGCTTACAAATTTTCCTAGTGTTGACAATGCAGTACACTTGATATAAGTTTGTTCAGTCAGGTTAAAATGGTGGTGTAATAAATAGAAATGCCAAACTTAATTTCTACAGTGCAACTCCAAAAAAAATCTTTTAATTTAACTCTTCAGTCTGCTTAACTCAGCAAGGTCTTGTGAATAACAGTACTTATAAATATTCTAGATTTAGTATAAGGAAGACTTGCTGAAATATTAAATAATGGCAAATGTGTTCAGCAGTGTTCAGGATTGTTCACTTAAAACATATTTATCGCTGTAACACCGATTATTAAGTAATTTGTCTTGTCCTCAATGTAGTTTGTGTTGACAGAAGCTACAATGTGTATGAAATTGAATGCTAATTCTTTGGTGTGCCTGTATCAGTGTATCTTTGCTTTTGTGTAATACTTATTGTTTCTGTGTAGCTTCTTTAGTCATCCCTGCTGGCAGAGGTATTCAACAATTCACAACAGCAGACCTGGTATGTAATTTTAATGCTATTTTATTTCTAACTTTACAATATTTAACACTCTAAATGAAAAAGTTAAGGCTCTTTCCATGTGTTAAAGGACTTAGTGGGAGGCGGAAGTGTCTAGATGCTCTAGACCGGGGGCCACAGGGACGTGGTGCCGGCCGCTTCCAGGAGTGGCGCGGGACCAGGGCAGGCAGGGAGCCGGCCTTAGCCCCGCTGTGTGCCGCTACCATCCTGGAGCCACTCAAGATAAGCGGCGCCGGGCCGGAGCCTGCACCCCAACCCTCTGCCTTGAGCCCCCTGCTGCACCCCGCACCTCTCCTGCATGGCAACCCCTTGCCCTGAGCCCCCTCCTACACTCCGCACCCCCTCCCGCACCCCAAACCCCGCTCCATCCCTACATTCATGGCCCTGCATGCAATTTCCCCACCCAGATGTGGCCCTTGGGCCAAAAAGTTTGCCCACCCCTGCTCTGGACAGCATGTGGGTAATTTTCAGTGCCTAATAGTACTTCTGATAATTTTGTCTGTGCCCTACATGATGTACAGTAGACAAGAGGGAGGAGTCTTTGCTGGGTGTGTGCATTCAACATCTGCAGAATCTAAGCAGGGGAGGAGGGATAGCTCAGTGGTTTGAGCATTGGCCTGCTAAACCCAGGGTTGTGAGTTCAATCCTTGAGGGGGTCATTTAGGGATCTGGGGCAAAAATCTGTCTGGGGATTGGTCCTGGTCTGAGCAGGGGGTTGGACTAGATGACTTCCTGAGGTCCCTTCCAACCCTGATATTCTATGATTCTATGATTTAAAAATAAAAAAAGAAAACATAAAATTTAGTCCTTATAGTTGTGATTAAAACCTTTCAAATCTAGCTGTCTCCAGAGACCCCTTCAGAGCAACCACCGTTGCCAATGGAGTAAGGGGGGGGGGAATGGGTGTTCCTGGCTGCTCTGCTATTAGAGCAACTGTTGAAAATTAGTGGAAGGGATGGCTGCCATTTTTAGAAGTTAGGTGTATTGGTGGAGTGACACCCTGTAAAGCAGGGAATCCTGGAAACAGGCTCAGCTGCCCTAGTAGAGGGCTTTGTGGATGTGCAATGTGGTGGGGGGACATGTTGATTTATTTGGGTGGTGGTAGGGCTGCCTCATATTCACATACTGTTAATATTGAAATGCAGGAGGCTCTTCAAACACTGGATATTATGGGGGGAAAGTAGTATACTGGTGCTTGAGGTGCAGAGTGAGGGGCTGCAAGGAGGAGTTTTCCCTAGAGAGGACATAGGTGCTGGAAAGGGAAGGGGCATATTGGGCAGGGAGCATGTAAATGGGGAGGTACTCAAGACAAGTCTAATTTTCTTAAGCATTTCATTACAAAACACTGCTCACCTTGCTGTAGCTTAAGGGTCAAAACCATTTTTCAGTAGGGATGATCATGGGGAAAGACTGTAACTTAGATTTCTTGAACTGCATTTTGCTAAGTATGACTGTTAGGGCCTCAAAGGATAGAGCACGAAACGCAACTTAATTTCACTAGTAAATCTGCTGTGTGTCTAGGATGCTTCACGAACCAGTGCAACTTTGACTCTCCCTTCGGGTATCGCTTATCCTATCCATGTACCTGCTGGAGTAACGCTACAGACTGCATCTGGTAAGATTAAGAAAAGCTGAACTCAGACACCAGTTATAGTACATAGTGTGTTGACCTGAATTTATGGGCTAGTTTATTATGGCTCGCCAATGATCTGACCAGAAGATATTTAGGTTCTTGTCCCAATTCAGGCTACAGGGTTAGAGAATGCAGAGTTCGACGTCGTGAGAGGACCCTCAGGTTGTGTAGCAAGGACACTTATACTGAGGACAATACCAAATTGTTAAGATCTTTATTAAAATGAATGAAAGAATAATAAACCATATAAAACAGAGTCACAAAGAAGTAATACAATTCTATTACCTCTGGTGATAACATCTCTATGCTAAAAGACTACTTAAACTAGCATTCTTACATCCTTCCCTGAAGACCTGGTAGTGGGAGACAGAGGACCAGCCTTGTCTCTGGCATGCCCAATGAATTTGATGGTCCAGGCTTCCCAAGTTGGTAGGGATTAGGTTCGAGTGTTGAATAGCTAAGCTATATTGCAAAGTTGAGCTGATAGCTTGATAGAAGATAGGAAAGAGCGACCCTCCTGCTTGGTTGTTTGCCCTCTTTTAGGGTCCTGGCACTACCTTAATCAAGGCCCAACCATGCCCAAATCTTATTTCCTCACCTAGATAAATCTTTGGGTACACTTACTCTATAGAGTATCATATTATGACATATAGTCATATGTATTAATATTGATTATGTCATCCCCGAAACCATTACCCTTGGCCTAACTTATGACTTCCATGTGCTGCGGTGTACCCTGCGGTTACCAGTCTGTTCCAGATCTATGGTAAACACGTTCACTTCCCCAAAGTCAAAAGGGGTAACCAGTAGGCCATTTATCTATGCCAAAGGTTACAAACACTCATATTGACTTGCTCTAGCTAATCATATAGGATATAGGTTCCTTGCGTTACAGCCAACTATTATAAATAACACAATATGGAATTCAGCATAAACAAAACCCAAGAAAATAATATAATCAATCAAACCAATGAAGAAAACACATTATGCAATATAGCAAGCTAGCAAACTGACCTCATGGGCTACAACTATGAACAGATCTCGAAAGATGATCACAAGTGCATGGGGTGTAAACTGGATGCCAAAGTAAAGCATTGGTGGATAAAACAAATTATACTCCTGTCTTTCTCTTTCTGAACCTGTAGCCGATTATAAAGTGACTGCTATTGACCAGTTACAGTGTCTGTTAAATCTGCAGCATGTAATAGTGCACCCCTGCAATGTTATTTAACATCATTCCCAGGTGACGCCATCAGGGCCGGCTCCAGGCACCAGCTTACCAAGCAGGTGCTTGGGGCGGCCACTTCAGAGAGGGGCGGCAAGTCCAGCTGTTCGGCGGCAATTCGGCGGATGGTCCCTCACTCCTGCTTGGAGTGAAGGACCTCCCGCTGAATTGCCGCTGCAGATCGCGATCGCGGCTTTTTTTTTTTGTTTGGCTGCTTGGGGCGGCCAAAACCCTGGAGCCGGCCCTGGACGCCATTCTCTGTTATACTGCTCCTGCTGTAGGTTCTGCTGTGTCAGTCCAGATGTGGGCATGTCCTCCTCCTGACTGAAGGAGATAGTCTATCCAGTCTCCAATCAGTGCAGACAGATTCTGCCTTGTCAGGGTGGATTTTCCTTAACTGCTTGTTTTGATCAATTCCCTCCATCCCCAGTCCCAACCCTTTTCTTTCTGACAGGGTTACATAGGATAGCCTAGAAGGCTGTGTGGAGAAATTAACCCTCTCCTTGCACTCACCAGAGCACTTTGAGGGGAAGGCAGCCCTCGGTGGTGTAACCCTGGGAGTAGTTGTGGGGGCGGGAGAGGGTAGAAGAGGGGCATTGTCCCCCCCCCAAACTGCAACTCTTGGGCAGGTGTAGAATTTGCCCCCCACCTCCACCTCATGCAGCCCCATTGGCCTGACTGGAGCTGTCTCCCCAAATATAAATCAAACCAAACCAATGGGTGTAACCACTTTTCTCTTAAACTGTTATTCAGAGTAGAACAGCAATGTAAAATAACACCATCTTCCTCCATCAGATCTACTTATGTGTATTGAGTCCTATCTATTGACTTTAATGATACCCATACATTTTACCACTTCAGCCTTTTGGAAAACTTAATAGGCCACCAGTAAGGGAAAATATATTGGTAGTTCAGCCTCTAAGCCCAGGTGCTGAGATTTTTAGCAGAGTACTCTCTCCAAACACTGCTGGAAGTGGTGGTGGTTCTGTCTCCTGCCTCAAGCTATGTCTAAATTTAAAATGCTAGTGGCGCAGCTGCACTGCTTTTGCACTTTAGTGTAGACACTACTTATGCTGATGGGAGGGCTTCTCCCCTCAGCGTAGTAATCCATCTCCCTGAGAGGCGGTAGCTAGGTTGATGGAAGAATCAGGCAGCACAGACAATACTAAAGAGGTTTATTCACGGCACTGGGAAGACTGATAAACAGCTTTAAAAGTATGATGTTACAGTGACCAGTTATATACATTTTCTTATTAATCTATTTGCATTTATTTTGTACTTACAGAGACAAACATTGTTTCAGAGAGAGAGAACACTTAACATGATAATGACAGGAAAAGAACATATGCATAGAAACCATTCTGATTACATTAATTATTTGTGACTATCTTTAAGGCAAAGGGGTGGGGTGGGGGTAGGAGTGAGTGTCCACAGATATCCGGAGAGCTGTGGAGGGTTTGTACTGTTTTCTTACTGAGAGGCTAAGTTACTGGGCGGTCATCTGACCATTTAAGTTATCAAGTGTTTACAGCTGCCATTGTCCTTGGGCCTCTGGTAGGCCTGTTTGTTAGTTATGTGGGTTTCTGCCTCAGCTGCTAACTGAATTTTTAACTCTTGCCTAACAACACATACCTTGGTGCACATAACAAAGTTTATTCCGCACATGGATGGAAAAAATTAGAAGGAACATTGGCCCCTGCCCTTGTGCTGCTGCAAAATAGGAGTGTTGTGTCTCCAACTCCAGAGCCTTTTGATGGTTGGTTTGTATGGTGATTTCATACTATTTTAAGGCCAATGTAGAAAGTATAACTGAATGAAGTGGGAATAGGCAATTCTGGCATCTGAATTCTAACACTGATAACAGTAAGTCAGCATCAGCTTAACTCCCAACAGGTAGCTTCAATAATCCACTGTTAATACTTCTCTCTATAGGGCACCTCTATAAGGTAAATATGCCTGTTATGGTTACACAGGCCCCAGGAGGTACAAGTATTCTGCAGCATCCTATTCAGCAAATATTTCAGCAGCTTGGGCAGCCTTCAGTACTGCAGGCCAGTATTGCCACTGTTGCACAGGTGAATGCATCTTCTGTTCCGGCAACTGCTGAAAGACTACAAACCCAGGAAGCCCCACTCCAGCAGCCCACTGTACTGCAACAAAGGGGAGTGGAAGCAAAACACTCGGAAAACTCTGCAAATGCTACTCTATTACAGCAACCTACTAGGAGTCAGCAGCAAGTTACAACTAATACAGTTTTGAATCATCAGGCAAACTCAACAGAAAATTTCCAATACACCAACCTTCAAACAGCTGTGTTTACTTCAAAATCCTCTGAAATGGATTCTACCACTGAACCAATGGCAAGCGGTTCATTCAGCATAACTCGGAGTGTGCAAGACCAATTATCCACAGAGCTACAAGATTCAGTGCAGCAACAGGTGTCTGATGATATCATTGAGATGATTATTCTGGGTAATGGCTTGGATGCTAGTACCCTTCTAAAAGAGCAGGACAGCATTTCTGTCACGGAAGAGGTAGGACCTTCATTGTTTAAAAATTTGTAATGAACTTTAACTTGGTGAAAATATCTGATGAAAGTAGATACTTATCTGAAGAATCAGTATATTAAAGCAACACTATAAAACAAATCTGTTTGTTACTAACAGCACCTCTACATTTTAAAAATGGAAAACTTCAAGAATCTAAGGGTATGTCTACACTTACCCGGTAGTTCGGCGGCGAGTGATCGAACTTCTGGGTTCGACTTATCGCGTCTTGTCTGGACGCGATAAGTCAAACCAGGAAGTGCTCGCCGTCGACTGCGGTACTCCAGCTAGACGAGAGGAGTACCGCGGAGTCGACGGGGGAGCCTGCCTGCCGCGTGTGGACCGAGGTAAGTTCGAACTAAGGTACTTCGAACTTCAGCTACGTTATTCACGTAGCTGAAGTTGCGTACCTTAGTTCGAATTAGGGGGTTAGTGTAGACCTGGCCTAACTTATAAGCAAATCGCATACATTACACTTCAGTTCGTTTGGACAACACGAATGACCTATTCATTTTTACTTTCTGGTTTTCATGCATTAACATTGCTGAAATATGTAGATTAAATGGGAATGTTCATACCAATGATCTTTTTAAAAACTGCCATATCATTGTGACCTTGAAATCATAGGTCAGATCCAAGCCATGGTGGGCAAATTGCCTTTTGAATACAATTTGGCTAGCAAATGAGAAGGAATTCCTGTCAGACTATGTACTCACATTCAGAACCCACAAGTTATATTGTGATATGAGTGAAAACTTAAAAGAAAAGTGTATTTCCCTCAATTAAAAACAATCATCATTCAACTAATGCTGTGCAAATAGTTTGTATTAGATCGCTGATTTCATTAAAGAGTCTCTTTTTTATAATTTATGGAATGTCCACAAGCAGATTGTGGTTTTCTTGAATTTATTTGTTTGAACTGTCTAAATTGTGTACTCCATGAATTTATTACAAATATTTTAAATTCAAGCTGCTTAGCTGTGATTTTTGTCTTGTAAGCCATGTGGTATTGGTTTTATTCCTTGATCAGATGAAGGGAAAGGCTTTTCTGGTTAAAATTGCATTTGGCAACAACTGTTGCCTGGAAAACCCCAATCACTAAAATATTCAGAGTGCACAAATGTGGTAAAGGTGAATTCATTTAAAATCATGAACAAAGACTAATGGAACACATTCTGCATTATTCAGTCAGCTCTATATGGAACCTGGTTTTGAAACAAACTGATATGGTCTGGAAGGTTTAGAAGAATGGTCAAAAAGAAGGATCCCAGGAGTACAGAATAATGCAATAATATTTCAATGTGGTATCTCAGAAGTGTGTGGGTTTTTAATCTTTATTACAGTGTTGAATTCTGTGGGACATCCTAAATGATTCTAGATGATTGAAGACTCGGATTCCCCCCCCTTATTAAGCTCTTAGAATCATTTAGTACTAATGATTATAAGACAGAGGGGGGCAAACTACGGCCCGCGGGCCACATCCGGCCCGCTGGACCCTTCCCTCTGGCCCCCGAGCTCCTGCCAGGGAGCGGGATCAGGACAGGCTTGTGGAGGAGCCAGCCCAACTCCCCGGCAGCGTGGTGAGCGGGGTGGAGGCTAATCCCTGGCCCCTCTCCTTCTGCTTCCCTCTCTCCCTCCCTCGCAGTCACAGTTCCCCCAGCACCTGGGCAGCGTGGCTGCAGCTCCGGCTGCGTGGCACAGCTATAGCGCCGCCAGACCTGGTGCTCCAGGGCAGCGTGGTCAGGGGGCGGGGAGCAGGGGTCGTTGCAGGGGGGCAGTCAAGGGGCCTGGGCCCTGCTGCTGGGGATAGGGACAGAGCAAGCCAGGGCCTCCCTCCATCCCCAGCATGCTTGGCCCCTGTCCCCAGCAGCAGCCAAGCCCAGACAGGGAGAGAGCCCTGCCCGACTGCCAGGAGAGCAGCCAAACAAGCAGGGGAAACGCACAGGGAAAGGACTGAGCCCCCCCTTTCCCCCACCCCACAGGTAAAGTGGGGCAGGGAGGGTTGGATAGGGGTGGGGGGCCCCAGGGGAATGGTAAGGGGGTGGGGAGCAGGGGAGATTGGATAGGGGATGGGCATCCCGGGGGGATGGTCAGGGGACAGAGAACAGGGGTGTTTCGATAGGATGCAGGAGTCCTGGGGTGCAGTCAGGGGTAGGGAGCAGGGGAGGATTGGATGAGGGTAGGGATTCTGGGGTGCTGTATAGGGGGCGGGGGCCAGGCCACACCTCGCTGTTTGGGGAGGCATAACCTCCCCTACCCAGCCCTCCATACAATTTCTGTACCCAATGTGGCCCTAGGGCCAAAAAGTTTGCCCACCCCTGTTATAAGACCTATACAGCTGCATTTTCAAAAATGACTAATGTCTCAATTTTTGGGTGACCACCTTGTCACTATTTAAGGGTGCTGATTTTTCAGAAAATGCAGGCTCCTATTAAGGTGTTTCATGTTAGGCTATGAAAATCACTAGTTACTTCTTAAAATCTTGGCCTTGGAATCCAGTTCTGGTCTCATTGAAGGCTTCATTATTGTAAGAGTCCACAACCTGAATGGACATAAGGCCCATTTGTAAGGTTCTGATGACATGAGCAGACAACTCCAAGCTTTGGTTTCATGGCTCATGTCAGCAGAACCCTTCAATAAATAACCCATATAATTATTACACAGAAAAACAAAAACTGTTATAAGAACATTATTAAGGGCCCAAAGCCAGAATGAAGGTTGTGTATTCAAACCCTTTGTGCATATGCATTATGAGCGTATGTGACCGTGTAATTAAAGACTACTTTTTCTAGAGGACCCCTGCCTTATTCAGGGCACAGGATGGACAGTACTCCCTGAATGAGCAGTTATACAATATTTTGTTTGTGCTCAGGTCACATTTTCAAGCTTTTTTCCACATCCATGAGTGATAAAAACATGGACTTTTTGTTTTGCTTTTCAAGTGAAAAGTGAAATTCTCATGTATTGTGTAAAAAAACCACTTTTTAAATAAAACACCAAATTTTGTGAGACTCTTGCTAAGATTGCAAGAGATAGCAAACCTGACTCCTGGGCTTTTGTTATGGTAGACTTTTTCAATACATATGTTTTATAGATTGAATGACTATTCAGACTATATTAAATACCCCTTTCTACTGTTAAGATGTGGGAACTACTGAGTTGCATATATGACTTTTAGTTGTTCTGTCTCAGTGCTTTGAGGTCCTGATCCAAAACCCATTGAAGTCAATAGCAGCCTTTCCAGTGACTTAACTGGCATTAGATCAAGCCCTCTATCGATTGTAGTCAGTTTCTACCTACCACTGCGGAATTTGGCCCACTGTGGTATAAACTGAGGACAGGGATGATTTAGTTGGGATTGGTCCTGCTTCGAGCAGGGGTTGGACCTCCTGAGGTCTCTTCTAACCCTCATCTTCTGTGATTCTATGACTTGTCTGCACTTACAGTGCTGCAGCTGTAGCACTTTAGTGAAGATGCTACTATGCTGACAGGAGGCCTTCTCCTATCGGCGTAGTTAATCCACCTCCCTGAAAGGCAGTAGCTCTGTTTACACTGGGGGGTGGGGGTAGGTCAGTAATAACTGCGTCACTCAGGGGTATGGATTTTTCACTTCACTGAGCAATGTAGTTATATTGACATAAGTTGGTAGTGTAGACCATTGGCTCTCAACCAGAGGTACGCAGAAGTCTTCCAGGGGATACATTAACTCATCTAGATATTTGCCTAGTTTTACAACAGCCTATATAAAAAGCACTAGCGAAATCAGTACAAACTAAAATTTCATACAGATGATGACTTGTTTATACTGCTCTATATACTATACACTGAAATGGAAGTACAATATTTATATTCCAATTGATTTATTTTATAATTATATGGTAAAAATGAGAAAGTAAGCAATTTTTCAGTAATAGTGAACTGTTAAACTTTTTTGTATTTTTACGTCTGATTTTGTAAGCAAGTAGTTTTGAAGTGAGGTGAAACTTGTGGGTACACAAGACAAATCAGACTCCTGAAAGGGGTACAATAGTCTGGAAAGCTTGAGAGGCACAGGTGTAAACCAAACCTAAGGCCACGTCTACACTATAGACCTATATTGGTATATATCTACACCCCTGAGTGACCCAGTTATACTGACCTCTAACCCTCTGTGTAGAGAGAGCTATATCAATGGGAGAAGCTACTGCCTCTCAGGGAGGTGGATTAACTACGCTGATGGGAGAAGCTCTCCTGTTGGCATAGTAGCATCTTTACTAACGCACTACAGCAATGCAGCTGCGGCGCTGTAGCTCTGTATGTGAAGACAAGTTCTAAGGTATTCGTTCCTGAAAGTTATCAGTGTTTTTTGATGCAATGGATGCTTTGGTATCAAGGAATTGCCTATACATAGATACATATATGTTGTCGCTAGATGGTATTTTCTAATGGAAAACTTGTCCGTCAGAAAATTTTCAATTAGTTGAAATTGAAACGTTCCACGGAGCGTTTTGTTTTTAACAAAACTTTATTTAGAAAAAAATTGAAACAAAGCATTTTGATGTTTTTATTTCAAAATGACTTTCATTAACAAAACTTTTTAAATTTTTATAAGATATTAAAATATAGTAAACCCTAATTTTAAAATAATATATGAAGAAATCAAATCAAAACAATGAGATTTTAACTAAATGAAACATTTCAGTTTACCTGACCAGAGTATTTTTGGAAATTATATTTTGCAAGAGTCTTTTGAATTTTTGGCATTGTTACTTTTTATTCTGAATCAGAATTATTTTTTTTCCAAATGTCAGAATTTCCCTTGGAACAGAAATTCTGATTTTTTGAACAGTTCTAATATCTATTGATTTTTTTTTAAAAGGGAAATTTGCTTTGAGTATTAGAGACCGTATTTAAAAACCATGTCTGGAAAAATGGATTTCATATTATTGAACAAGTATTTGAAATGGGGTTCATTTCAGGAAAATGTATATATGACCAGATTTTCAAAAGTGCTCAGCTCTCATAATTGGGGCTTGACTTTAAAAAAAAAGAGCTCTACTCCCATTTAAACACCTAAATAAGGTGACAAGTTTTTCAAACTTAGTACCCAACAGATCTCCTAGAGAAGAATGGGAGCTATTGGGTGTTGAGTTCTTGTGAAAAATCGGACCTCTTGTCAAGCTCTCATTGAACCTTCTTATTCCTGTCAGATGGAACCTACTGTACTGATGGAATCTGACATACGGACAGAAAAGGATATCTGCAGTGACATTGAAGGGATCATTCAGCTAGATGGAATTGATGATGTTTTTCCTAAGGAGGAAATAGAAAGTACAAGAGATGTGGAAGAAAATGAATTTATTGGTATTATTGATGCGGAGGATCTGAAAGTGTTGGAAGAGGAGGAAGATGAAGAAGGTGACAGTATTTCAAATGCTGAATCCAGCGGCAGCAGTGATACCGAAGAGCCCCAAATAGACATAATTGAGGAGGTAATTAGTTTAAACATTCTAAAGCAAGTCAGAGAAATGTGCCTATCTGCATGTCTGGTTGCTTAGATCCAGAATATCCACTGGTAGATTGAGGCAGAATACATGGTTAAACTGTGTTTTCAGAGCAGAATGTAATAGCTATGGGGTGGTTTGAGAGCTTCTTGGGCAGACCATAAAAAATAGGAGGAGTTGCTGTGATATTTGTTGCTTATTGGATGAATTAACATGCTTTTAATTACCAAAACTTGAGGCTGGAAGTGAAATTCTGGCCTCACTGAAATCAAAGGGACTTTTGCTATTCGTTTAAGGAGGGTCAGGATTTCATCCTGGGCCTCTATCCTGGGAAGCAGTGACTCTGGGAAAACATTTTGGGGTCATGGTGGATAATCATCTGAACATAAGTTCCCAGTGCAACGCTGTGGCCAAAAGGGCTAATGTGATCCTTGGATGTATAAATGGGGGAATATAGAGTTTTGGCACTAGTACGACTGCTACGCTACTCTGATATCCACTATTAAAGTGGAATATTGATAAATTGGAAGGGTTTCAGCTAAGAGCCTCGAGAATTATTAAAGAATTGGAAAACATATCTTTATAGTAGTAGACTCCTGGAGCTCAATCTTTTTAGCTTAACCAAGGATGACTTGATCACAGTCTGTAAGTCCTTATGTGGGAAACAAAATTTGATAATAGCCTTTCGGTTTAGTAGATGAGGCTATAACAAGATCCAGTGGCTGGAGATTAAATCTAGACAAATTCAGACTGGAAATAACAGTGAGGGTAATTAATCATTGGAATAATTTAACAAGGGCTGTGGTGGATTCTCCATCACAAAATCTTTAAATCAAGACTGGATGTTTTTAAAAAAAAGATATGCTCAAATTCAAATAGGAATTAATTCAGCAAAGTTCTATGGCCTGCATTACACAGGATGTCACACTAGATCAGGGGTTCTCAAACTTGGGGTTGGGACCCCTGAGGGGGTTATGAGGTTATTACATGGGGTGTCACAATCTGTCAGCCTCCACCCCAAACCATGCCTCCAGCATTTATAATGGTGTTAAATATGTTAAAAAGTGTTTTTAATTTATAAGGGGAGTTGCACTCAGAGGCTTGCTGTGTGAAAGGGGTCACCAGTACAAAAGTTTGAGAACCACTGCACTAGATGATCACAATGTCCCTTCTGGCCTTAGAATCTATGAATCCCAGGTTTCCATTGCTTCTAAAACACTAAACAAGATTGGAAGGGGAATCAGGCAGTGTATGCTACAGGTTGTCTGTTTCCCAGGAGACCAAGGACAGCTGAGGAACACTTAGTCACAGAACAACTACATGTATTATATGATTTTTCTCCTTGAATCACCTTTCAGAGAGTCTTGCCTCGTGACATATGGAAGTTGGTTTAGCATTCCAATTTCTGGGAGAGAAAGTGGAGTTAACTTTGTCAGCCTTGAGTGCTACTTGTAATTATAAATCTTAGTCATTTTGGGGGGGGGGGAGGGGAATATCAGTGTGAAGAAATGTCTTGTGCATAATGTCTTGTGTTACATCAAGTATATTAGACTTTTTTAAACAACAGTAAGTAATGGTGTTTAAATGTGACCTTTACTCTCCAGGATCCTTTAAATTCTGGTGATGATGTCAGTGAGCAGGACACACCAGACTTGTTTGACACAGATAACGTTATAGTTTGTCAGTATGACAAGGTACAGTATATAACCCTGTTTTGTTCCTTAACAGTAATTTTAGCCCATCCATTTCTGGTAAGAATTATTTTTGGGGATGTGTGTGTGTGTGGAGAATGTCAGTTGTTTCATCAGTATTTTAAATAATTTAATTATCTGTTGGTTGAAATGCACATAAAAACCAAAAGAATGTAAACTTATTTGCACTATTGTATTAAAATTCATCTACAGTTTTCCTGTAAAAGGAGAAACTTCTTACAAGGGCTGTCAAAGGAGAAGGATTTCAAATCTAACATCATAAAGTGCAAAATAAAGTCCTGTGATGACTTGTGTGTGTGTTGCCTTCCTGCTCTCTGTTCCTATTTCGTTTCCTGGTTCCTGCTGCCTGAACTCAGTGCTGCTGTTCCTATTTAAGGATGCATGTGTAGCGCTGAGGGTGTGCAGCTATTCAGGGCAGGCTGCTACAAACCTGCTGTTTGGACTGTTATGGTTTTTCTTCAGATTGTTGCTGACCTCGCTCGTTCTTGGTTATTGCAAGTTTTCATTGACAATTTACCGGTATGTTCTGCTTTGTGGTGTGGTGGTGGTTTTGCGTTTGTTTTTTGTGGTTTGGGATTGCTGTTCTCAGTGCATCAGAGTGTAACGGGTCCCAATCCTGCAGACACATGCACATTCTTAAATTTAGTGAGATGAATAATCTCAGTGGCGTCAATAAAACTACTCATGAGTAAAGCCAAGTATGGATTGAGTGAGCAATAAGAAGAAGGGAAGAGTATGCTTCCTTATCTGGTAGTAAAATATTCCTAAAAGGATTTTAAAAATGTTTACCACAAATCCATCTTTTCAAATAAGCAAAGCAAATAAGCAAAGTTCTTAATGAAGACACATGGTCCGTCCTGTGTTACTGTTCACAATAAAGTTCATTCTGAGCTAGTTTAGAGGTCAAACAAACCCTTTGGAACTCAGGTGGCTGCTTTTTTGCTTTTGTGTATCTGAAACTCAAACTGGAAAACCAAACTTTGTTAGAATTACATCTTATCTTGAAATCATGGAAAGTTTCAGCTTCAACACATTTTATTTTTGTCAAATATGTGGCTTTTGAAAATAGAGGCCTACATTTTCCAAAGTGATTACTGATTTTAGGTGCCAAACTTGAAATGCCTTAAAGGAATCTGAGATTTAGAAAGCGATGAGCACTTGATCTCGGAAAATCACACCATTTAAGGTGTAACAAGTTGAGTACCAAAATCACTAGTCACTTTTGAAAAATTTAGGTGGTCAGAGTTTGTATAGAAAGCTCATCTGAATCTGAACTACATTAGTTGTATTGTGATACTATGATATTTCTCCCTAAGAAACTTAATAATACTATAAGTGCTGGAATTTTGAAACGTTCCTCTCTAAAATTAAGATTTTGTATGGATGAATGGAAAATTTGGTCTGAAATATATTTATATCAATGTGGAGCTTGAAACCAGAGCTGCTGTGAAGGGATTTCATAACAGATGTGATTAGAATTTGAGAGCTATGGATTGGCATGAAAGTCTGAGTCTTTCTTGCCCCCCCCCTCTTTTTTTGTGTTTTTGTTTAATGCTATGAAATAATATGTTGGCTAGCTAATATATTGGTTACTTTTCCCAGACAGACCAGTTTTACTGAAAAAATTTCTAAGGGAGGGCGGAGAGATTGAAACCATGGTCTCTTTGGCCAAAAGGCAGAATATAATTATCTTGTAATTCTGTTCCTAATTATCTTTAGGGCTATTAAACATAGTGGGAGGATGGAAGTGGGATGACTGTCATTCTAACATGTTCCAGCTCTTTGAAAAAAAAACTTCTATCACAAATATCATTACCAGAAAATCAGGAGGCATTCTTTTTGTTTCCTAGTCTTGAAAACCGAATCAAGTTGAGAATCTGAAGAATCTATAAAACCATTTAATTCCATGCCTTTCAAGATGAACTACAAAGATTTTTGTGTTGCACAGAACTTTTTTTATAGGTCTACAGTATGAAACCAAATATGTTTGGTGTAAAAATATGAATACATTCATACATTCTTTGTGTGGAACATTGTGCTTTTTAGCCATATTTTTGGTTGCTGTATTATTTTGGCCTTGTCCTACTATCCTACCATGTCCAGTACTGCATGCAAAATACAAAAATGCAATACACAGAAATGAGTAGCTGCGCCCACAAGTACTCATTTTATTGACTGGATACTCATGCAATCTAGGTGTCGATATTTGAAAATGTATCTCTTGGTCTATTCTCTGGCATGTCAGACTTTCACAGTACTCCATATCTGAGCTCTGTTCAGAGAAGCAGTTTTTTTATGTATTTGTTAGCACTAAAGGTTAACTTCAGTCCTTCAGCCCTACCCCCCTACCAGCTTTGTTTAATTCTTAGAAACTAGTCAGTTTCTGAAGATGTTCTAGTAACACACTTTTGGGGGCACTGATTTTCACTTTTTTTTTTATCAGATTCATCGAAGTAAGAACAAATGGAAGTTCTATTTGAAAGATGGAGTAATGTGCTTTGGAGGTAAAGACTATGTGTTCGCAAAAGCCATTGGAGATGCGGAGTGGTAAATCCTCACTGGAGTAAGTGAAGTATAATTTTTTTTTATTACAAAATGTTATATAACCTTCAGTGAGGAGCTACTGAACTTGCTATGTTTTGCAATTTTTAAAAAATGAAAATGAAACTGCATTTGTTGAATAAAATATATGAAATTGAAAATTAGTTTTGTTTCTAATAAATGCAAATTAAGACTGTTTTATGTTCACCATTCTTTTTTTTCTGATTTATATTGTTACCTTTTTACTAAAAGAAGTATAATCAGAATGAATAGCTTTAATTAACAACTAGTGTGTTGGATCTGTAAATGGAATAACAAGTAGCTACATTTATGTAAGTTCAACTCCTTTTTTCTTGATAAGTTAAAATGCAATGATTTTTACAGTGTTAGACAACACAATTCTTAGTGATTTATGTTAAAAGAAATAAGATTGTGAATTCACTGTAATATCTGTGAATGTTTATTTTGTTAAAAGATGCTGATGTGTGTTAGCTATACCTCCTCCCCCCCTTTGCATCTCATCCTTCTGGTGAAGTGCATCTCGTCTGCCTTTAGTCTGAAGCTATCAGTGCAACCCAGAATATATGGGTAGAGGACCCTGAGTTAACAAGACTTCAGCATTGTTATCAGTTGTTGCATTTTCTTCAAATATGATATGTACTGAGGAATAATAAATAGTCTCATTTAAAAAAAAGTACCTTATTGTCATAGTGTGTATTAAGCCATTTAACTTTGCTTCTGAACACACTAATAAACTGTGAGTGATATAAATTGACTGTGCCTAATAAAGAAGATACAATATCATCTCATACAGTTTTCTAGTCATGATTTGTTCTTTTGGTCCTTCTTAAAAATAAATAATGCTTTAATGGGAAACATATGCATGCCAAAGGGGAGTGGGGAGCTGGATGCACCAGCTCGGGAAGGTGAAATCATAGCCCTGACAAGGGCCCAGTTGAATTGCTCAAAGCTTTTCTTTATTCACCTAGAAACAATGATTGAAAACCAATTTGCTACCCCTCAGGGTCTAGTATAGCCCTCCGCAGCTGAGGCGTATTCACAGCCAGATCAGTTCTCCTGCATGGCAGTTGTGAAGAGCACCTTCCCTGACCAGTGGCATAGCCAGGGTTGCTGCTGAGGAGGAGCGGTGGAGAAAAAAGGCTCATGTCCTTCGGCGGCATTTCGGCGGCTGAAAGACAGAGCGGCGCATGCGCAGGGCCGCCGAAATTATTCTTATTTCGGCGGCCCTGCACATGCGCTGCTCCGTCCTTCGGTGGCCCTGCGCATGCGCCGAAATGCTGCCAAAAGACGGAGCGGCGCATGCGCAGGGCCGCCGAAAGACGGAGCAGTGCTGAAAAAGGCGCCACTTGGGGAATTCTGGGCTCGGGGAGCAGGCGCTCCCCCTGTTACCCCCCTAGCTACGCTACTGTCTGACCCTGGGTCTCACCTGTCTGCTACTCTTGTAAGATGCCTGATATGTGATGTCTGCAAAGCACGTGACTAGGAGCAGACTTGTGACCAATAACTACATCTCCCAGTGTTAAAGGGCCATAACAGGCTGCCTGGGGCATATGTATGTGTCTCAAAGCCCAGTATTCTGTTACACCACCCCACTGCACATTTGCCTCCTTGCTTGAGTTTACTGTATTTTTCTGGAACCTGGTGCTGGAACTGCTAAGTCTTGTTGATCTGGATGATTTCCTTGTTCATGTGGATGATGATTCTTCTAAGCTGACTCAAGGTCTCCTGCTTACCATGGTACTATCTCATGCAGCTTTGGGCACAGCACTCACGTGACTAGCCATACTCTCTATCTTACTTTTGAGAGAAGGGTGAAGATTGTTTGATTGAACAGTGTGAATTGGGAGTGCTTTGTTCCAGGTGGGCCTTGAGTGGGCCTGACTGGTATAAAAAGGCAGTCAGCAGCAAACCAGCTGAGCGGCGAACAGCAGAGGCTAACAGAGGGAGTTTGCCTGGGAGTTCGCCTGCGGAGAGCCCACTGAGCCTTACATCTCGCGGGCTTCTGTGAGTTGCTGCAACAGCTGAGGAAGCTCTTAGAAGGAAGGTAATATGGAAGGTGAGCATTCAGTTGTTATAACCTGCACAGGTTGTGCCATGTTTGTCTTTCTTCCACAGGACAGAAGCGACTTTGTCTGTACAAAGTGCAAGCTGGTCTCCATATTGGAAGAGAAGGTTCGAGGTCTGGAGAAACAAGTATCGACCCTGCGTTGCATAAGAGAAAATGAAAATTTCCTGGACAGACATCAGGATATGCTTCTACGGGCACAATGTTCTGAAGAATCGGAGCAGGTTGTGCAGAGGGGACTGAGGGACGGTGTAGAAAATTGGCAGCATGTGACCTCCAGAAGAAGAAAGAGGAGCGTCCATGTACCAGCAATGGAGATACAGGTGAGCAACCATTTTCATGTTCTCTCCACAGGTACTAATGCGGAGAGTGGAGTTGATGATACATCTGAGGGAAGGGAGCAGAAGGAGACTCCACCGATTGGAAAGCATGAGATGCACTGTCCTAGGGATGGGGGTTCCACAACCACCGCTCCCAAGAGAAGGAGGAGGGTGGTGGTGGTCGGGGACTCCCTCTTCAGGGGGTCTGAGTCATCTATCTGCCGCCCCGACCGAGAAAACCGAGAGGTCTGCTGCTTGCCAGGAGCTAGGATTTACGATATGACGGAGAGACTGCCGAGACTCATCAAGCCCTCGGATTGCTACCCCTTCCTGCTTCTCCACGTGGGCACCAATGATACTGCCAAGAATGACCTTGAGCGGATCACTGCAGACTATGTGGCTCTGGGAAGAAGGATAAAGGAGTTTGAGGCACAAGTGGTGTTCTCATACATCCTCCCTGTGCAGGGAAAAGGCCTGGGTAGAGACCGTCGAATTGTGGAAGTCAACGAATGGCTACGCAGGTGGTGTCGGAGAGAAAGCTTTGGATTCTTCGACCATGGGATGGTGTTCCAAGAAGGAGGAGTGCTAGGCAGAGACGGGCTCCACCTAACGAAGAGAGGGAAGAACATCTTCGCAAGCAGGCTGGCTAACCTACTGAGGAGGGCTTTAAACTAGGTTCACCGGGGGAAGGAGACCAAAGCCCTGAGGTAAGTGGGGAAATGGGATACTGGGAGGAAGCACAAGCAGGAGAGTGCAAGAGGGAAGGACTTCTGTCTCAGACTGAGAAAGCGGGACAATCAGCGAGTTATCTAAAGTGCCTATACACAAATGCAAGAAGCCTGGGAAACAAGCAGGGAGAACTGGAAGTCCTGGCACAGTCAAGGAACTATGATGTCATTGGAATAACAGAGACTTGGTGGGATAACTCACATGACTGGAGATTGGACAAATGACCAGGGAAGAGTATAAAAATATTGCTCAGGAATGCAGGAGTGAAATCAGGAAGGCCAAATCACACTTGGAGTTGCAGCTAGCAAGAGATGTTAAGAGTAACAAGAAGGGTTTCTTCAGCTATGTTAGCAACAAGAAGAAAGTCAAGGAAAGTGTGGGCCCCTTACTGAATGAGGGAGGCAAACTAGTAACAGAGGATGTGGAAAAAGCTAATGTACTCAATGCTTTTTTTTGCCTCTGTCTTCATGAACAAGGTCAGCTCCCAGACTGCTGCACTGGGCAGCACAGTATGGGGAGAAGGTGACCAGCCCTCTGTGGAGAAAGAAGTGGTTCGGGACTATTTAGAAAAACTGGACGAGCACAAGTCCATGGGCCCGGATGCGCTGCATCCGAGGTTGCTAAAGGAGTTGGCGGATTTGATTGCAGAGCCATTGGCCATTATCTTTGAAAACTTATGGTGATCGGGGGAGGTCCCGGATGACTGGAAAAAGGCTAATGTAATGCCCATCTTTAAAAAAGGGAAGAAGGAGGATCCGGGGAACTACAGGCCAGTCAGCCTCACCTAAGTCCCTGGAAAAATCATGGAGCAGGTCCTCAAGGAATCAATTCTGAAGCACTTAGAGGAGAGGAAAGTGATCAGGAACAGTCAGCATGGATTCACCAAGGGCAAGTCATGCCTGACTAACCTAATTGCCTTCTATGAGGAGATAACTGGCTCTGTGGATGAGGGGAAAGCAGTGGATGTGTTATTCCTTGACTTTAGCAAAGCTTTTGATATGGTCTCCCACAGTATTCTTGCCGCCAAGTTAAAGAAGTATGGGCTGGATGAATGGACTATAAGGTGGATAGAAAGCTGGCTAGATCATCGGGCTCAACGGGTAGTGATCAACGGCTCGATGTCTAGTTGGCAGCCGATTTCAAGTGGAGTGCCCCAGGGGTCGGTACTGGGGCCGGTTTTGTTCAATATCTTCATTAATGATCTGGAGGATGGCGTAGACTGCACTCTCAGCAAGTTTGCAGATGACACTAAACTGGGAGGAGTGGTAGATACGCTGGAGGTTAGGGACAGCATACAGAGGGACCTAGACAAATTAGAGGATTGAGCCAAAAGAAACCTGATGAGGTTCAACAAGGACAAGTGCAGAGTCCTGCACTTAGGACGGAAGAATCCCATGCACTGTTACAGACTAGGGACCGAATGACTAGGAAGCAGTTCTGCAGAAAAGGACCTAGGGGTTACAGTGGACGAGAAGCTGGATATGAGTCAACAGTATGCCCTTGTTGCCAAGAAGGCTAACGGCATTCTGGGCTGTATAAGTAGGGGCATTGCCAGCAGATCGAGAAACGTGATCGTTCCCCTCTATTCGACATTGGTGAGGCCTCATCTGGAGTACTGTGTCCAGTTTTGGGCCCCACACTACAAGAAAGATGTGCAAAAATTGGAAAGCGTCCAGCGGAGGGCAACAAAACTGATTAGGGGGCTGGAGCACATGATTTATGAGGAGAGGCTGAGGGAACTGGGATTGTTTAGTCTGCAGAAGAGAAGAATGAGGGGGGATTTGATAGCTTCTTTCAACTACCTGAAAAGGGGTTCCAAAGAGGATGGATCTAGACTATTCTCAGTGGTATCTGATGACAGAACAAGGAGTAATG